CAGGTTGGGGTCATGATGGTGAACAAGTGTGCAAAGTTTCAAGGTCATATGTCAATGGACTTTGAAATTATTTGAGGTATTACAAAAAACTCTAACATAAGTACGCTGACGCTAGGATGACTTGTATAGCTCTACAAGTCGAGCGAAAAAAGCATCTATGAATGAATTACAAACATATGACAAGACACAACCATCAATGTACTATTTTGACATTCAATTATAACCTTCACCTTTTAAACTCTTGTCCTGGTGTTTAGGTGTGACAAGTTTCCCTAATAGATCACAGAAGTATGCCAAGTTATTTCAAAATCAATTCATGGATGAGAGAATTGATGACTGGATATAAACATTGATAAACAAGGCTTTTCTAAATTTGGGCTTGTGACCTAGTTTTTCACCCCAGATGAACCATATTCAAACTTAACCTAGAAACTCATTGACCAATTTCAAGCATATTTCGACTGAAACAAAAGTCTCAAAAGTGTAAACAAGATTATTCTATATTTTGGCTGTGACATATTTTTGACCCCAGTCGAGTCATATTTGAATTTTGCCTAGAAATTATCTAAATAACCCATCTGACAAAATTTCAGGATATTTGAGCTGACAATGTTTCCTCCAGAGAGCTAACACAGTTTTTCCATCTTTGGCTGGGACCTATTTTTTTACCTAGAAATCATTAAAACCTTTCGAACCAATTTCCATATTTAGACTGAAACATTAGCCTCTAGAGTGTTAAAGGGAGGCACAGGCACGATTTTCATTTCTTCGTTTTGATTTTATCATTCCTTATTCTGTAATTGCCCTCAAAATGAATATATTAGACAGTCAAAGGAACAAAACTTTTCTCCATATAAAGAATAAAATGGTGGTTTCCTAACTTGACCCACATGGGTCAGGTTACAGCATAAAGATTTCACAATAGTTGTCACAGTAAACTCTGGAAACGTTTAAGAGCATGTCAAATGAATGGTTTATGTTTGTTTCATCATATAATATCCACAATATATGTTATTATAACTTCCAGGGTTTGTTCAAGTCACATGACTAGTTTTAAAAATACTCGGTGATTCTGTCGGCGTCTTAATTTTGTTCAACATATATAGTCATAATAGATATATTTACACTTCAAACCCAAACTAGAACTATCACTAAATGTGATTAATACCCCCACAACTGCTTCGGAAATGAGGATGTTACTAGTAACAGAATACCTTGTAAAAGAATTGAAATATAGAGTTATGGTTGTGGGCAATTAAAGATAGTTGTGGTTCTTATATGTTGCATTTCCTTTCAATGCGGTTGGCCATTGATGAAGTTTAATTGAATTACTCTGTAATAAGTCCAGAAAGACAAAGAAAAGGAACAAAGGGCAATAACTCTATAAATACTGAAGATAGAGTTATAGTTCTTGTGCACTGCACTTCCTCTTATTGTGCTTGACCATTGTATGAAGTTGTTTTGAATTCCAACCAGTACGTTTTAAGTTATGCTCCTGACAAGGAAAAGTATCAAAGGGCAGTAACTCTGAATTTTGTCAAAATGGAGTTATGGCTCTTGTGCACTGCACTTCCTTTTAATGTCCTTGACAACTGTATTGAATTCCAAACAGTAGTTTTCAAGTTATGCTCTGGAGAAAGAAAAGTAACAAAGGGCAATAACTCTGTAATTAGTCAAAATGGAGTTATGGTTCTTGTGCACTGCACTTTCTCTCAATGTGCTTGACCATTGTATGAAGTTATATTGAATTCCAACCATTAGTCTTCAAGTTATGGCCTGGACAAAAAAGGCAATGGAAAAGCAACAAAGGGCAATAACTCTGTAATTACTTTAGATAGAGTTATGGTTCTTGTGCACTGCACTTCCCCTTATTGTGTTTGACAATTGTATGAAGTTGTTTTGAATTCCAACCAGTAGTTTTCAAGTTATGCCCAAGACAAGGAAAAGTAACAAAGGGCAATAACTCTGTAATTAGTCAAGATAGAGTTATGGTTCTTATGCACTGCACTTCCTGTCAATGTGCTTGACCACTGTATGCAGTTATATTGAATTCCAACCATTAGTCTTTAAGTTATGGTCCGGACAAAAAAATCAATGGAAAAGTAACAAAGGGCAATAACTCTGTAATTACTTTAGATAGAGTTATGGTTCTTGTGCACTGCACTTCCCCTTATTGTGTTTGACAATTGTATGAAGTTGTTTTGAATTCCAACCAGTTGTTTTCAATTTTTACCCCCGACAAGGAAAAGTAACAAAGGGCAATAACTCTGTAATAAGTCAAGATAGAGTTATGGTTTTTGTGCACTGCACTTCCTCTCAATGTGCTTGACCATTGTATATAGTTATATTGAATTCAAACTATTAGTCTTCAAGTTATGGTCCGGACAAAAAAAAGCAATGGAAAAGCAACAAAGGGCAATAACTCTGTAATTACTTTAGATAGAGTTATGGTTCTTGTGCACTGCACTTCCCCTTATTGTGTTTGACAATTGTATGAAGTTGTTTTGAATTCCAACCAGTAGTTTTCAAGTTATACCCCGGACAAGGAAAAGTAACAAAGGGCAATAACTCTGTAAATAGTCAAAATAGAGTTATGGTTCTTGTGCACTGCACTTCCTCTAAATGTTCTTGACCATTGTATGTAGTTATATTGAATTCCAACCATTAGTCTTCAAGTTATGCTCCGGACAAGGAAAATGCAACGGACGTCTGGACCGACCGACCAACCACCGGGTGACTCCTATATACCCCCCCAAACTTCGTTTTTGGGGGTATAAATACATAGAATTTAAACAGAAATTCATGCTGAGACTTTAACAAATGTCATTTTAGCATGATTTTAGTGCATAAGATAACTTTGATATTTTTGTCATTTATTTGCCCAAGTATCCTTTGACTATTCCATATTTGGGCTTGTGATCTAGTTTTTGACCCCAAATGACCTTTAAGCCAAATTCTTACTTGAGCTGGAATTCATTCAAGTTTAGACCCCCAGGGGAATGAATAATATATAACTTTTGTTTTGAGTACCACAAGGTGATGTTCCATGCCACATATCTAAACTTTTGACATTGTACACATGTACTTTCAGAGAAGATTTTCAACATTTATACTACGCAAGTCTATGTAAACTTAGTGATCCCCAGGGTTGGGCCATTTTTTATTCTACGGGCTTGACTTATATAACTTTTGTAGAGGTCTACTAGCCAATGCTACAATCCAAATATTTAAGCTCTTGACATGTAGTTTCAATAAAGATGACTTAAATGTAGATTCCTGTACAAGTCTTTATAAATTAAGTGATCCTTAGGGACTCAAATACTTAAGTGGGGCCATTTTTTCACCCCAAGGGAATGATTTATACCTTTTGTATAGGACCACAAAGAGTTGCAACATGCTGAAATCTAAGAATAATAGTTTCTTATAAGATTTTTAAAAAAAATCATTTTTTAGACTTTTTTTAGTTCCTGTGACCTATTTATGTGTTGTAAAGTTGGATTCCAACTACAATACTGAACAGCTTACATAATCATTACATAATGTTGTATAATATTACTCAAGATAATATAATATATAAGATAATATAACATATAATTATAATCTTCATAAATACTTTTCAAGAAATATTATGGGTTTAAACTTTAACTTAGATTTAAGTTTATTTTAAAGTTTAATCATATTGAACATGTATTGTTTTATAGACATTTCATTCTGATCATGCACTAGTTTAATGTTGGTGTAACTTTGAAGAACTTAATGATCAGTAATTAACTTAGCATGGCCTAAGACTCTTTATATACAACATAGAATGTTTCTACTTTCACTTATACTGGACTTTAAACTTAGTGAGATACATATTGTTAATTTAGCATTTGCATGATTTATAAATGTTTGTAAATATGTTTAGTTGATATTAGTTACTAGTTTTATTGTTACAAATATTTTGTAAAACTTTATTATTTTTATAATCATGGTCGATTGATACTGTTGCAAAATTTTCCATGGATCTTAATCTATTTTTAGAATAGTTATGTAAAGAACTGATAAGCCTAGAGTATTTGTTAAGTAAATTCTGATTAGCTGTAATTTGACCAATCAGATAAGATGTTACATACAGTGCCATCTGTAGGTAGATGCTAGCTCCCTCTGGGATTCAGAAGTCCATTTATACAAGCATCTCAAACAGTTTTGTCATTCTGCTGCAAATTTTTGGAAAAGTAACATCTCTAAAAGCTCTCTAAGGTTGATGATTTAATTATTTAATTTATTTTAGGCACTTTGGCATTTAAATGAACCTTAGAGATTATCTAAATTCACTGAAACATTTTTGATAAATTTGTAAGTATTATTTTTTACAGGATTAATAAGATCAATTAATATCTTTTCTTTGTTTAAGTGGCAGCCATCTTGAATTATTAGATCTTTATTTTTGTTGATATATATTAAAACAGGGCTTGCTACTATTTAGGTTAATTAGTTTAACAGCACAGAATCATTAAGGTTATTTTTTATATTTTCAGTTATTACAATTTTAACAACTTTCAACTGGTTTAAATCTAATCACTAGTTTATTTTGATTACCATATTTTTGCTTAATTACAAACAGTTAATTTTAAAGTACATTTTGTCAATAAAGTAAATATTAGGTAATAGGTAACTAAATTCTATTTATAGAAAACACAAGGCTTTTAATTTTCAACACTACAACAATGGTGCCAAGTGGGATAGAGGCCTGCTTCTATTTTTAGAAACCCTAATTAACATATTTTTTTCATCACCACAACATATGCATTAGACATTAGAATAATTTATAAAATTTTGTAGCTGACCACCTAAGAATCATTCAGGTAAAGGTTGGTCAAAATCCATCAAGCGATTTAGGAGCTTTGGGAGATGTTGTTAAGAAATTGTGGACAACGATGATCGCCGGACATACTGCCATCACAAAAGCTAACCTCTGATCACTTTGTGCTCAGGTGATGTAAATAGTACTAAACATATTAAACTTTATTGTTTATTTTAAGGTCCTTTTAAGGACAATTAATAAATGCACTTTATTTCAACTAACTTCAGCAAAAAAAGTTCACTACTTTGACTCGAGATTGAATAACAAGATGCCAGTTTTTACATTGTGGAATGTTGTAGTTTACATCACTTAATCCAGTATTGTCAGAAGATCCCCCTCAAAGAGAGCTATAGTCAGCATAATCCCTGCTCCTGTACACATGCCTACGCCCTGTAGAAGAAGATGACATAATGGATGCTCTCCCTTCTTTGTTTCCACTGACGACAACTCTGGTAACTATTGAAATAAAGGATATTATTAAACCTTTGTGACTTCCTTCAAAGAAACAAGAGGGCCATGATGGCCCTGAAATCGCTCACCTGAATATAAAAATCTCCATGATTAAGAACAAGTAATATTGTAAACTATAAACAGAAGCAGTTATAAAATCTAAATCTTAAACTAAGTTCATATTTGCATCTGAAATAGTGCATGTGTAAAAACAATACTGGTTGCCAATTTTATACCCTAGGGGTTTGATTTGAAGAAACTTGGTAGACACTAGAAGATGTTTCATGCTAAATATCTAAGCTATAGCTATTTGGGTTTTTTAAAAGAAGATTTTTTAAGTTTTATTATATATATAAAAGAGGAAAATCAATGACCCCCCCCCCAGGGCTGGGCCAATTTTGACCCAAGGGCTTTTATTTGAACAAACTTTGTAGACACTCACTAGAAGATGTTTCATTCTTAATATCTAAGCTCTAGCTATTTGTGTTTTTTAAAAGAAGATTTTTTTCAGTTTTTATTATATACATATAAGGAAAACCAATGACCCCCGGAGTGGGGCCAATTTTGACCCCAAGGCTTTGAACAAACTTGGTAGACATTCATTAGAAGATGTTCCATGCCAAATATCTAGCTCTAGTTCTTTGGGGTTTTTTAAAAGAGATTTTTAAAGTTTTTTCTTTTGGCTGCCATGGCAACCAGTGTTCTGCATGGAATTAAATTCTTTGAACAATTTTTAAAGGTGACCACCAAAGGAACATTCCTGTGAAGTTTGGATGAAAATGGCTTAGTGGTTTATGAGGATATGTGATTTTAAGTAAAAGTTTACAGACTGATGAATTGTGATCAAAAAAGCTCACAATGTCACTTTGTGACAGGTGAGCTAAAATTTATAGAATAAATATTTAACATAAATAGCCGTCTTTTCATATATAGCATACTTTTAACACAATAAAATAAGTTCTCCTACATTAAATAACTTTACAATGACAAGACATATCAACAAGAGGGCCATGATGGTCCTGGCCCTGAGTCGCTCACCAGAAACAACAGTTACTGCTTTTCAGTGTTGGAAATTATTTTTCAACAGAACTTGCTGAAAGGCAAGTCCAGCTCTTTCGGCAAGTTCAGCTCAATTTTAACTTGCCCCTCTAGTAATATACTTTCACAACACTGATTGTTTTAGCTTTTTTTCTTCATAATAAACAATAGGGCCATTAAGATGGCCCTAGATCACTCATCTAACCCATCATTTCATTATTCACTACATAAATTGAAATAATTTCCCCTAATATTTTGGAAAAGCTTTGTTAAAAATATGTATGTTGCAAGTGTGTTCCTATGAGACTGTGTAGAATAAATGCAGAATAAATGACCACTAGAGCAGGATTAATTTTGACTGGACAATTTTTTGATAATTTTTTTAATGAAAACACAAAATGTCACATGCAAAACATGTAAGGTGTAGATGTTTAAAGTTTACAGTTTGGGACAACAAATTTTTTATACATTCTGTATGGTAACATAACTGTACCTAAAAAAAACAACAATAGGTCAAACATTGTAAAAAATATGAAAAGTAGGCCAGTTGATATCAAAATTAAATTCAGCATAAGAAATTACACCCCTAGTCCAAATTTCAAGTCAGTATGTCAAAAAACACAAGAATGAAGATCAAATTATATCAAAAATATCAAAAGTAGGTCAGTTGATATCAAAATTCATTTCGTCATCAGAATTTACAAACCTGGTTCAAATTTAAAATCTGAATGTCAAAAGAAAGTATTCAAGAATGTAGGTCAAATGGTGTCAATAATACCTAAAAACGGTCAGCTGGTATCAAAATTGAATTCAACATCAAAAATTACACAAATTACACCCCTGGTCCAAATTTCAAGTCTGTACATAAAAGACAAAAAAAGTAGGTAAAGCAATATCAAATATATCAAAAGTACATGCAGGCCAGTTCATATCAAAATTCAATTCAGGATCAGAAATTAAAGCCCTTGTCCAAATTTCCAGCAGGTACATCAAATAACGACAAAATAGGTAAAAAAATATCAAATAATAATATCAAAAGTAGTCAGTTGATATCTTAATTCAATTTGCATCAGAAATTACATTCCTGGTCTCAAAAATATCAAAAACAGCTCAACTAATGCCAAAATTTAATTATTCACATGTAACTCAGGCAGAACAGTATGTCCCAAAATTTATTGAAATGTGCTTTCTCCAAGTTTAAATCCAATTGAACCAAAAAAAAAAAAAATGAAAAAATTACAATTTTTAACAAAATTTAATAAAATAATTGAGCATACAAACTCATCTTTGTTAGTTAGGTACAGGAGAAACAAATTTTATGTTTCTTTTGGCCTATTTTTTCTCCTGGTTAATGACCTACATCTCACCTTACAATGATGCAATATGATGTCTGAATTCAAGAGCTGAAAGATATTTACACATCATAAACAGGTCATGACCCAAGCCATTGAAATGTATGAAATTCTTACTTTGGATAAAAGAATGAATAAACTATGTATGGGAAGCTGCATATCCTATTATAGGCCAAGTAAAGATGCTCTTTTCTATAAAAAAAAATAAAAAAAAAAAAAAACAGTTTTTTTAATGACACTATCATTATATTTATACTGTGACCATCTTTAGTGTGAAGAGTTTAAAACATAACATATCTACTTTGTGTGAAATAGAAACACGTTTATTTTATATTTATAAAGAGACTGTGTATCCATTGTCAATACAGCAAACTTGACTTATAGCGAACACGGTTATAGCGAATTTCCGGTTATAAGGAACAATTTATTTTGGCCTGAATTTTGCCCTTCTTTATTTAATATAAAAATATACGGTTATAGCGAACACGGTTATAAGGAATTATCGCTTAAAAGGAACTCATTTCTTAGTACCAATTTAATTTAAAGTACAGATAATTACACTTTTATAACGAACTCCAAAATATCCCGCATTTTCAACTTTCGTTTTCATTGACACGGATTAAAACTCGGCCAAATGTACTGTTTATTGTGGTATGTACTTCAATACGTCTATTTAAATGAATTTGAATAGCATTACGTACTAGTTTTCTTTTTAGGATATTTTAGCATGAGTTATTGTCACCAAGATAAAATGGTCATTCCTTTTATTCTATTATTTTTTTCTAATAGATTGCTCGGGAAAAATAATTATGATCATTTATAATCGGGTTTCAACATAATCACGCATGCTTGCAAGCATAATCCTTTTAAAACTACAAAGTACGCTTGATTGAAATGAAAATAAATCTATATCATTCATTAGTAAAAGTCACCCTTAAAATATAATAGAAGATATTCAATATAAAAAAGATGGAAAAATAAAAAATCTTGTTTATTCTTATTCATGGAAAGAAAACTAAAAGCACTGAGTTTAGAAACAAAATATGATATTTTATGAGAAATTGAGAAAGGGAGTAAAACTTAAACTTAAATAGCAAAGAATTTTCAAATTCCAAAAAGTACGCTCTCGGGTATTGCGTCTAAAATGGAAATAAATGACTATTTTTTCTTAATTAAATGACTCTTCAAAATGGTGGACGATGGTAAACAATCATTTCGTTATATGTAAATCTGTTCGCTATAAAAAACTCCAGATACAAGGAACTAATATGCTATATGCTTACAAGGAACTCCGGATATAAGGAACAGATTTTGAATGTCCCGATGAGTTCATTATAAACGGAGTTTACTGTATTTTCTAATATTAAATTTGAGCATAGAATATCTTTAAACTATAAGTTGAAGAAATGCCATGAGCTGGGGCATTTAAGCTTTAGCTTAAACAGGGCCAATCAAATTAATATTAGCAAACTTGATAAAAGACTACCTAAGAATGCTACTGACAAAGTTTGGTGATCATCCATCAAATATTTCAGTAGGAGATGATGTTCAAAGGTTTTACTATATTTAGTTTTTTTGACCCCTTAAAAGACTACCTAAGAAAGCTATAGACAAAATTTGTGATCATCCATCCATTACTTCTGTAGGAGACACTTAAAGGTATTTCTATTTTTAGCTTTAGCTGCCCCTAAAAGGGGCCAATCAAATAAATATGAGCAAACTTGATAAAAGACTACCTAACAATGCTACAGACAAAGTTTGGTGATTTCAGAGGAGAAGACGATTGTTCACGCATGACGACGGACGACAGACGCCAGAGTATCCCCCTTTGATACTTGAAGCTCACCCTGAGCCTTCAGCTCTGGTGAGCTAATAAAGGTGGTAGATGCCATGCCTATTCTCAATGTTTTCCCAGGTCACATTACCTGGGGCAGACACATTCGCAATGGCAAATATGCTAATTTTTCCCAATCTTTAAAAAAAAAATCCCAATCAAACTGAAATTCTCAATATCAAAACTGACAAATTTGCTTAAGTTCATTCCAGTATGGTATCAGACAGATAATTTCTCACATTTCATTGTCAAATTTAAATGTAATTTTTTATGCTTTGCATGATTGGTTGGAATAAACAATTTTGCACAATTCTAAATACAATGCCAAAAGAGCATAAAAGAGGTTTGAAAGGTACCAAATATTTTTCACAACTAAGCAATTTTACGATACAAAATTTCCCAGACTGAGCATAAAATGTCTAGGTAAAGGCCTTGGTGCTCCCCAAAATTCCACTTATGTAACTGAATGCCCACATCTGACTTTGAGGTATGACCTAGTCAAACGGTTCTTGCATGGGAACATGCCATCTCATGATGTATTTGTATATGACCTTAAAATATGATCTTGACCTTTGACCTAACCACACACTTCTTGCGGGCAACACACCATCTTAAGATGTTTAACATTTCTGCCAGGTTATTTGAAATTCCACCAACTAGTGATCGAGTTATGGTGTGGACAAGCTGTTTGAAACATTTTTTTTCTTGCATTTGAGCTTAAAGTAATACCTTAACCTTTGACCTAGCCACATGGTTCTTGTCCAGGACATGCCGTCTCATTATTGTGAAAATTTGTGCTAAATTAATTGAAATTCTGCCTACTAATGACAAAGTTACTACTCAGACAAGCATTATCCGAACAGTAGTAAGAGCCCCGGTTCTTGCTACATTATTTAGAACAATTGAGGTAAGTTATTTGAAATACTGCATACTAATGATAGAGTTACGACCTGGACAAGCATAATCCCGACGGACGCACGAACATACACTGGACCGCCATTGTCACAACTTGTTAAGCTCTCTGCAAGCAGGCTCGACAAAAATATGTTAATATCAAATATGTAAAAAAATTAACAAGAGTCACTGCAAGTATTAGAGGACGAATATTGTAGTAAATAATTATCCAAAGAAATATCACTTTCTTGTACAAGCTATAATTAAAAATTTTTGACCTTGATAGCCACTCATTTACAGATCAGTCATACTTTAACTAGACCTATCACTGAAGGTAATTAATAACCCCACCAGCAACCTTGACTTTCTAAACAAGAGGGCCATGATGGCCCAAAGTCGCTCACCTGTATATAGGCCCCCGGGGCGGGGCCAGTTTAAACCCCAGGGCTTTTATTTGAACAAACTTGGTTGACACCCATTAGAAGATGTTTCATGCTAAACATCTAAGATCTAGCTTATTGGGTTTTTTAAAAGAAGATTTTTAATGTATGTATATACATACATACATATATATATATATATACATATATATATATATATATATATATATATATATATATGTATGTATGTATGTATGTGTATATATATATATATACATATATATATACATATATAAATTTGGAGAAAATAAACGTTCAATAAATAAAAAATAAATTTCTCCAAATTTATTGTTTTTTTTCCACGTTCTTGTATCCTTCTTTGGATCCAGTGTTTTTGAAAGGTATTTTGTAGATGCAAATATTTTTTCACAAACCTATATATACATATATATATATATATATATATATATATATATATATACAATATAGATACATACATATATATATATATATATATATTGCATTTATTGGTGTGTGTATATATGTAATATATATATATATATATATATTTCATATATACGCACACACCAAAAAATGCAATATATATATATATATATATATATATATATGTATGTATGAATGTATATTGTATATATATAATATATATATAAATTACACATATATATATACATATATATATATAATATGTATATATATATATATATGTATGTATATATATAATATGTATATATCTAAAAAAAAAAAAGTCTAACTAATGAATGACCCGGGGCGGGGCCAATTTTGACCCCAGGGCTCTTATTTGAACGAACATGGTAGACATCAATTAGAACATGTTTCATGCTAAATATCTTAGCTCTCTTTAAAAGAAATTTTTTTAAGTTTTTACTATATGCAAAAATCAATGACCCCCTGGGGCGGGGCCAATTTTGACCCCAGGGCTTTTATTTGAACAAACTTGGTAGACACCCATTAGAAGATGTTTCATGCTAAATATCTTAGCTCTAGCTCTTTGGGTTCTTTAAAAGAAGATTTTTTAAGTTTTTACTATATACATATAGGGAAAATCAATGACCCCCAGGGCGGGGCTGATTTTAATTCTAGGAACAAAATTTGAACAACTTTGGTTTTGGACCTATAGATGATACCATAGACCAAATATCAAAGCTCTAGGCCATTTACTTTCAGACCAGAAGATTTTTCAAGTTTTCACTATATGTATATAATGAAAATCAATGACCCCCCGAGGGCGGGGCCAATTTTGACCCTAGGGCCATTATTTGAACAATCTTGATAGAGGTCTACTACACAATGTTTCATGCCAAATATCTAATCTGTAGCCTTTGCCAAATCAGAGAAGAAGATTTTTTAGATTTACCTATAGACATATAAGGAAAAACCTATGACCCCCCGGGGCGGGGCCAATTTTGACACTAGGGACAAAATTTGAACAACTTTGGTAGAGGACCCATAGATGATACCATATACCAAAAATCAAAGCTCTGGCCCATGTACTTTCAGACAAGAAGATTTTTTAATTTTGTGTTTTTTGAAATCCTTTTCTGGCCCTGTGACCTACATATGCAACAGACCGGAACCATTTGAACAACTTTGAAAGGGGACCACCCAAGGATCATTTCTGTAAAGTTTGGTTGATGTGCAGTCATTGGTTTCAGAGGAGATGTTGTTTATGTTAAAAGTTGACGACGCACGACGACGGACACAGGGCGATCACAATAGCTCACCCTGAGCATTGCTCAGGTGAGCTAAAAATAAGTGGTCTGAATAAAAATTTGAACTGGACCTATAGCAAATAAAATATCAACTGTGTACAAAGAATTATTTCAATTTATTGCAATCACAACCAGGAAACCATTTTTCTATTTTAGTAATGGTGACCTTTACTTTGACCCCAGGGGGTCCAAATGCGATACCAACTCAGGTCTTCATATAAGCTTGCTATACACCAAGTTTGATTACATTATCTGAATCCTAACTCTAATTATTGTCCGGAAACCATTTTTCTAATTTTACTAACGGTTACCTTTGCCTTGACCCCAGGGGGTCCAAATTCAATACCAACTGGTGTCTTCATATAAGCTTGCTTTACACCAAGTTTGATTACAATATCTCATTCCTAACTCTAGTTATTGTCCGGAAACCATTCTTTCTATTTTTAGTAATGGTGACCTTGACCAAAGGGGGTCCTTCATTTAAGCTTGTTTTACACCAAGTTTGATTACAATATCTCATTCCTAACTCTACTTATTGTCCAGAAACCATTTTTCTATTTTTAGTTACATTGACCTTGGCCTAGGGGGTCCAAGTGCAATACCAACCGGGGGTTCCACACATAAGGTTGCTATATACCAAGTTTGATTACAATACCTCATTATTGTATTATTAAACCATGATGTGGACCGACAGACAAGCTGACTCCTATATACCCCTTTAAACTTAGTTTTTAGGGGTATAATTTTTAAACATGTCATAAGTGTTGCATTGCCTCAGTATGAATCAAATTTGTCTATAGTAATTAATAACATAGTTCAGGCGCTGTAACTTAAGCAATCCATGACGGTCAAGGTAAGTTAGAGGTCAAAATCACACTTGAATGTCAGTTTTGAAAAAAAGTTTTATTCAAGTATGTAATTAACAAATATGATTGAAATATCATAATTAAGAATGACTTCAATATCATGTCAATATCAATGTCATATGTGAAATTTTATAAACTAGAAATGTGTCATCACGCCATGGATGCCCCCCCCCCCCTCCCCCCCGTATGCAGACAAAATTTCAGATGTTACAATATTGAATTCCAAATTCGTTTGCACAAACTATTTTTTTCATTTAAAGCCAAATTATCTAAAATCTTCCATAAAGTCATAAGTTATAGAAAACATATAACCTTGACCTTGGTGGAAGCAACCTGGATGTTGAGATCTGCAGATTGTGTGAAGGTGGGGATCATTTGTGCCAAGTAATTTTAAAACCTTTGAATTGTTAATAAGTTATAGAGCGGATATGAAAAATAGATGTTTTTACATTGGACCTTTGAGTGTGACCCTGACCTTGTGACTTGATTATTGTGCTCTGCCAATGGTGTCATAATGGTGATCATCTCTGCCATGTTATCTTAAAAACATTGCAGCCATTTAAATGTTATGGAGTGGACACGAAATGTAGACTTCTAACATTTAACCTTTAAGTGCGACTTTGACCTAATTATTGCACTCTGCACATCGTCTCATTATGGTATTCACTTGTGCCAAGTTATTTCAACAAAATTTCAGCGGTTTAAAAGTTATGGAGCAGACAAGAAAGTGTTAAGGATGGACGGACAGAAGAAAGGACTGACTGACAGACAGAGGCCATTCCTATAATCCCCTCCCTACTACGCGGAAGGGGATTAAAATGTGAAAAAATAACAATTTTCAAATATATACCATTTGTAGGAAGAAGAATATCTGAAATAGTGCATGTGTAAAAACATTCCTGGTTGCTAATGCTAAGGGAAAACAACAGTTCCAAAAGATGTGTACATATTAGGAAAATCAATGCCTCCGAGACCCACCCCCACCCCCCTAAAAAAAAATTATTTGAACAAATTTGGTAGACACTCACTAGAAGGTGTTTCATGCTAAATATCTAAGCTCTAGCTTGTTGGTTTTTTTAAAAGAAGATCTTTTTTTTTTACTTTTTACATATAAGTAAAATCAATGACCCCCAAGAGAAGGGCTAATTTTGACCCCAGGGCTTTGATTTGAACAAACTTGGTAGACACCCATTAGAAGATGTTTCATGCTAAATATCTAAGCTCTAGCTCTTTGGGTTTTTCTGGTTACTGTGCAAGGATTGGTTTCAGAGGAGATGTGGTTTAAAGTAATTTTTGATGATGCACGCTGCACAACGACAGACAGTGGGGGGGGGGGGATCACAATAGCTCACCATGAGCATGTTGTGCTCAGGTAAGCCTAAAAATATTGTGTCGCATTTTCATATTATAAAAGGAAAGTAGAAATTCTGATACCATATCCACAAGAGCAATGTATAGGAACATTCCTCCAACCAAAGAGAATACCCATAGACTGGCTCCTTTTAGGTTACCAACAGCCACACCAATCAACATACCAACAAAACACAAAATGGATGAGAGACAGTTGTAAATAATAGCTTGCTTTGGTGACATACCAGCTCTCAATAACATTGCAAAATCACCTGAAATAAAGACATTTCCTTAAAAGCTTGCACAAAACCATAATATGTTTTCTTAACAATTGAAACTCATTAAAGACATAAGTGTAATAATGAAAGTTTGTTTATGTTGTTCTTACAATTGTATGTATTTTTTGAAACATTAATAATCACTTATCAGTTCTCACACAAACATCTTTTTGTTGAGAACACAAATTCACTTATAAGTTACGTAAACTTCTCTATTTTACACTCTTACCCACCTGCATAATGAGTATCAGTGGAAACAAGCAATAATCATAGTATTGCAAGCAATCCATAAGTCCCCTACCAGTTAAAACCCCAGTAACATTCTGAAGGGACATTGGTCATTGAATGAATGAAAGACATGAATAAACTTAAATCTTTTGAGTTCTTAGTTTGTCTGTATCAAAGTAATGTGTTAAGTTTCCCTTATTATGTTTATAGAACAGATAATCAAAAGATCCAATTTTCTCAGGATGAATATGTATAACTGATGTTTCAACTTTTCTCTATTTTTAGTAAATTTGTTGGAAAAAGTGCAATGTCTTTAAAAGTGATCTCAGGAAATAGTTTTTAGAAATGGACAGACAGACCAACTGACACAGACTCTGAGGGTAAATCTTTAAACATCCCTGGTTGTTAGCAGAATATAACATTTTTAAAAGCAAAATTCCTAAACTAAGAGGAGATAACTCTTGAGATGCTAGACTTATGAACATTGCCATACATAATGTGAGTGTAACGAAGAACAATTATCTAAAGTTCAACCCTTTACCTCATATGTACGCGAAACAACGCACTTTCAACCCCGCCCCCCCACTTTTAGGCCTAAAATAGTGAAAAAATGTCCTGTTTGGGCCCCAAACACATGTTTTCCTTTGAGAAATGTTAATAAAAAAGTGATCACATTTTCGGCGCCGCTCACTATCAACAAGAGGGCCATGATGGCCCTAGATCGCTCACCTGACCCATCAAACTCATCCGAACAATTACCTAGACAAGCATTCTGACCAAGTTTCATGACAGGTGAGTCAAAAAAGTGACCAATAGAGTGTTAACTAGGATTATCCATATTTGAGCAGTGTGACCTAGTTTTTTACCCAGGTGACCCATATTCGAACTTGACCTAGAAATCATCAAAACAAACTTTCAGACCAATTTCCAGGATACTTGGATCAAAACAGTAGCCACTAGAGTGTTAACAAGATTTTTCTATTTTTGTCTCGGTGACCTAGTTTTTCATCCGAGATGACCCATGTTCGAACTCCTTCGAGCAATTGCCTAGACATGCATCCTGACCAAGTTTGATGATGATTGAGTCAAAAATGTGACCACTAAAGTGTTAACAAGGTTTTTCCATATTTGGGCGATGTGACCTAGTTTTTCATCCGAGATGACTCATGTTAGAACTTGACCTAGAAATCATCAAAACAAACTTTCAGACCAATTTACAGGATATTTGGATCAAAACAGTAGCCACTCGAGTGTTAACAAGATTTTTCTATTTTTAGCTCCGATGACCTTGTTTTTCATCTGAGATGACCCATCTTCGAACTCATCTGAGCAATGTCCTAGACAAGCATCCTGACCAAGTTTGATGATAATTTAGTAAAAAATGTGACCACTAGAATGTTAACAAGGTTTTTCTATATTTTGGCAGTGTGACCTAGTTTTTGACCCCAGGTGACCCATATTCGAACTTGACCTAGAAATCATCAAAACAAACTTTCAGACCAATTTACAAGATATTTGGATCAAAGCAGTAGCCACTAGAGTGTTAACAAGATATTTCAATTTTAGCTCCTGTGACCTAGATTTTCATCCGAGATGACCTATGTTCGAAATTATCTGAGCAATTATCTAGACAAGCTCCCTGACCAAGTTTGATGACAATTGAGTCAAAAATGTGACCACTAGAGTGTTAACAAATTATTTCTATTTTTAGCTCCTGTGACCTAGTTTTTCATCCGAGATGACCCATGTTCGAACTCATCCGTGAAATTACATTGACAAGCATCCTGACCAAGTTTGATGACACTTGATTAAAAAATGTGACCACTAAAGTGTTAACAAGGTTTTTCTATTTTTAGCTGCGGTGACCTAGCTTTTCATCCGAGATGACCCATGTTCAAACTCATCCGCGCTATCACCTAGACAAGCATCCCGACCAAGTTTGATGATGATTGAGTCAAAAATGTGACCGCTAGAGTGTTAACAAAGTTTTTCTATTTTTAGCTCCAGTGACCTAGTTTTTCATCCGAGATGACCCATGTTCGAACTCATTGGAGCTATCACCAAGACAAGCATCCTGACCAAGTTTGATGATGATTGAGGCAAAAATGTGACCGCTAGAGTGTTAACAAGGTCTTTCTATTTTTAGCTCCGGTGACCTAGTTTTTCATTTGAGATGACCCATGTTCGAACTCATCCGATCTATTAACTAGATAAGCATCCTGTACAAGTTTGATGATGATTTAGGCAAAAATGTGACAGCTAGAGTGTTAACAAGGTTTTTCTATTTTTAGCTCCGGTGACCTAGTTTTTCATCCGAGATGACCCATGTTCGAACTCATCCGAGCTATCAGCTAGATAAGCATCCTGACCAAGTTTGATGATGATTGAGGAATAAATGCGACCGCTAGAGTGTTAATGAACTAATTGTGGACGGACGACGGACAATCATCGATCCTAAAAGCTCACCCTGAGCATGCTCAGGTGAGCTAAAAAGGTACATCAAGAGGTTGCCAGAAGGGGAATGTGCCCCCTTCTGTTTCGGGAGTTTAAAGAGGGCGGCAGCCCCCCTCATCGCCAAGAAAATTTTGGACATGTGACAGGCTACAAATGGCCTTTTACTCTATCTCAATGCATTGAGAAGTTGCAGCACTTTGAAATCAATTTTGATGGAAAAAAAAACTATGCAAAATAGTGATTTTTGGCAATTTTGAGATGTCCCCCCATTGACATGGTAACAAGAAAGATTGAGCATGCTGTTACAGAGGTTATGGTTCAGTCAACATTTGTGCCTGTGCCAAGTTTCATCAGTATTGAACATATTTCATAGTTTTATAGCAGTTTGAACTTGTAACAGGAGGCTTTTCAATGAGAATGGCCATTTTTCACAATATGCTCATGCAAATTGCATATTTGTAGTAGAGATAACGATTAGAAATTGTGAATTTTTAAATCTTTTCCAAGTTCAAGGGGGAAAACTGTCAAAAAACATCTGACCATGACCAAATTGAACCCGACTTGTATTTTCTGGTAAAATAACAGCTTATGCAATGTCAGCCTCGGGCAAACATTCCTACCGAAGTTAAAGCAGAAACTGAAAATTTCTTATTTTTTCTAAGTTTAAGAAGGATAACTCTGTGGAAATCATTGGACCAAAACCAAATTCAAACTGGACTTGTAATTTCTGGTTAAATACCTGCACATGCGATTTCAACTTTATACATACATTTCCACAAAATTAAGAGTGGGGATCTGTTAAAGACGGATAACTTTGTCCAACATCATTGAACCATAGCCTAATTTGAACTTGACCTGCTTAGTCCTGTGATGTATCTATATGTCAAATTTGATATTTCCATATATGGACTGTCACCAAGCTTTTGAACTTAAATGACCTATATTCAAACTTGACTTGAAATCAACTAAACAACCATTCTGACCAATTTCCAGGATATTTGGACCAAAACAGTACCCTCTAGAGTGTAAAGGTTTTTCCAGTACGAGGGGCATTTATAAAGTATTAATCAGTGTGAATTTTTACCGTTAATTTGAGCGTAATTGGTACATATTATACATGTTTGGAAAGGTAAGACTGTCCTCTACAATTATATGCACGAGGAAACTGTGAAATACCTATGCAGTGAGCGTAATGTTCACTTGAATTGACTATGGTCAGGTACACTGCAGTTGAAAATGGCAGAAAAAGAGAACAAGTTTCAAGACGAGCAAAGAGTGCATTGTAAAATTTGCGCATTGCTTGGTGTTGCTGCACCTGATATTAAATCAGACTTAGGCAAGGTTTATGGGGATAGTGCCCTATCGTATTCAACAGTTAGAAGATGGGTTCGACTTTTTACCTCCGATAGAGAGACTACAAGAGATGAGGCCCGTCCTGGTCATCCAGTCACAACAATGACTGACGAAAATATTGCTGCTGTTAAAAAAGTTGTTGAAGATGATGCCCGCTGTACAGTGGAGGAGATAGGTCATTTATGTGGCATTAATTCATCATCGGTTTTTCAAATATTGACTCGCATGTTAAAGTTACGCAAGGTTTGCACCCGGTCGATACCCCACCTTCTCACTGAGGACCAAAAACGGGAGCGTGTGCAAATTGCAAAAAGGTACAAAAATGCTGACCAAAACCGTATGAATGACATTGTGACTGGTGATGAAACATGGGTCTATTTTTATGAGCCTGATGGTAAAGAAAAAATAAGGTGTGGGTCGGTGAATATGACGAACGGCCCCAAATTGCCCGTAGAGCTCGCACCTCAAAATGCATTATGTATGTATTATTTTTTGATTGCCAGGGAAAGGTGGCTCGAATTCCTTTACCATAAGGCAGGTCTGGAGTGTTACCGGAATCTTTTATCGAGATTCAGTTCTTTCTGCTGTTGTTAGTCACTATAGTACAGCCCGTCCCCGTACCGGCGAACGCGGAATCAAACTCCTGCATAACAACGTACCTGCCCACAAGTCAGTGGTGGTAAAGTCGTATCTTAGCGACAATAGCATTGAGACTTTACCACACCCTGCAAACAGCCCAGATCTTGCTCCATGCAATTTTTGGTTAAATCCTTACATCAAGAACTACATGAGGTCCCCGTTTTTGAATCTCAGCACTATAACCGAAAAGGCCTACCGAAAAGCATTTTCCGATTGGATTTGGCGCTTGGAAGAGGGCATCCAATGCGAAGGGGAATACTTTGAAGGGTTGGTCTAACAATTTCCTTAGAAATATTACATCTATGACTAAAGCGCCACAC